AGTAAGCATGGAGGTGGCACATGCATTCTGAAGTCCCCAGCCCAAAGAGGCACATATCTCTGCTCCTTAGATCCCCTGGCTGACCTGCAAGGGGCTGGGAAGCAGAGTCTCCCCTGTGCCCAGGAAGGAGAGGCACACCTTGAGTCGAGGGTGCTCAAATAAAGGTCTAGCACACTGGGGGCCAAGTACATTCATCCACTTACTGACATCATTCCATCCTTGCACTTGAGGATGAGCTTAAGTCAGTCAGGGAGCATTGATTTTTCTTTTTTCTTTTTTTTTTGGTGAGGAAGATTAGCTCTGAGCTAACATCTGTTGCCAATCCTCCTCTTTTTGCTGAGGAAGATTGGCCCTGGGCTAACATCTATGCCCATCTTCCTCTACTTTATATGTGGGATGCCACCACAGCATGGCTTGATAAGCAGTGCGTAGGTCCACACCTGGGACCTGCGAACCCTGGGCCACCAAAGGGGAGTGTGTGCACTTAACCACTACGCCACCGGGCTGGCCCCAGAGAGCACTGATTTTTAGACGTTGCTGGTTTGGGGTTGCTAACATTATTTCAGAAGTTCTGCATCAGTATTTGCCTGTAATCTTCTTGTACTGTCCTTGTCTGGATTTGATGTCAAGGTTGTATTTCACTCATAAAACGAGTTGAGAAGTGTTTCCCCTTCTGTTCTCAGAAGCGTTCGTGTAAGACAGAAGCTACCAGTTTGGCATAAATTACCTGTTAAGCCTGTCTGGACCTGATGTTTGTGAGTGGATTTCAAACCAGATTTAATTTCTTTCATGTCAAGTGCTTCTTCTTTGTAGCATTTATCATGGTTGTAACATATCACTTGTGTGATTTTTCCCAATTAAGAGGACTGAATGAGGTACAATGGTCAGCAAAGTGCATGGCACCCAGTACATGCTCAATGAGTACTAACAGTGGTGATGGCACAGCAGACTGTTCCGGGTATTAAATGACTGAGCCTTCACAGACCTGAGGGGGAGAAGCGACTAGTACCAGCTGGAGAAACTGGGGAACAGAGAAGGGGCCACCTACCCAAGGTCACTTGGCTTATTAGCTGCAGAGCCAGGACCAGAGCCCTTATCAGCCAAGGGCCAGAGCCCTCCAGCATGTCCCCAGCATGTGCAGGACTAGAATGACCCAAAGCCAGCCTCATCGGGTTCCTAAATAATGTGCCCCCAGTGAACACATGAATGAATGAATGAATGAATGAATGAATGATGGTCTAAGTGAATGTGTGGGGCCTGTCTCATCCCACTGGGGGGAGCACCACGTGGCCATCGCACCCCAGAAGCCTGGCCTTGTGCCACCCATGGCCAGACCTGGCTCCAAGGTTTGAACACAGGGGTGGCTGGGGAAGAGCGGCTCTTCAAGGGGCATCCAGCCTCCTGAGTCGCTGGTTAAGCATGCAGATTCCCAAGCACTGGGAGGGACCCTCTGGGGGTGGGGCTGGAACCCAGGGGTTTAACCTGCCCCCACCCCCAGTCACCAAAGACCACAGCGGGTTGCAGCAGCCGCTGGCCTGCAGCCCTGGTTGGCAGGCTCAGGCCTGAGGTCCACACCTGGCCTGTCACCTCCTGCTGCCACCTCCCAGTTGCCTGGGGGCGGGTTGGGGCCAGATCAAGATGGTTCTTGGCAATGTTGGCTGGTGGGGGAGATGGGAGTGGAGGATTCAGGAGTTGACTGGTCTCTCTCTTGGCCTCAGTGTGCCCATCAGTCAAATGCACAACAGCAGATAATGGGGAAACTGAGGCACAAGTGGTTGAGTAATTTGCCCAAGGATAGAGCTAGTGAAGGGGAGAACTGGGAAGGTTCAGTTGCCCCCAAGGTTCTGGGAGGCTTCATGGTGATGCCTGGCTCATGCTAGGTGCTCAGGAAACAGCTGCGGGGATGACGGAGGGCTCCCTTGATGTCTGGGGTCCTAACAGTGTGACCAGCCCAGGAATACCTGCTCCCCGACTTAAGGGGACATCCTTTTAAGTTGCTGCCTTTCGGGTTAGGCAAGGGGAGGCTACCTAAGGGGCGATCTGCTGGGAGACGCTGGCCCATCTCTGCCCAGTTCTGACCTCTGTGGGCACCTCCCGCAGGGCCCAAAGCCCTGGGTTCTGCACCAGGTGCTCGGTCTCACAGTAGTAGAGGTGCGGGGGGACAGGACATGCTGGGGGACGGGCAGAGTGACCGGCATGTGAGATGGTTCTGGGAAGACAGTGAAGGGAGACGACAAGCGGGCTAGGAGTGAGTCCAACAGCTCCCCTCGAGTGGAGCAGACACAGCCCAGCTCAGGCAGAGAAGGGACTAGAGCCCACGGGGTCACCTCACTCCTGTGTGAGGCACAGGGGCTCTGCTGTTTCCCGCAGGTCAGGTGGGCTGGGCCGGAGCCTCTGAGCACTGCATTCAGGGTGGTAGGGGACAGAATCTGGCAGAAGACACACTTTCAAAGACAGCACTTTGGGGGCTTTGAAAACAACTCTAGACACCCTTGTGCTCCCTGAATTCTACCCGAGAAATTTCAGTCTTTACCTGGACGATGGGGGGTGGGGGGTGCAGTATAGCTCCTGTGCATTAACCCACTTCTGGGGCACAAGACATAGGAGGGGACATTCTGGGGAGGAGCTGGTGACATCTATCCCACTCTGTCAGGCCTACCCCCACGGCAAGCGAGTCTGGGGACTGGGACAAATGACCACACCCTTAGTGTGCCAGGAACACCACCCACGACAGCACAGAAAAGAGGTGGCAGCTCGGACTGTGGCTTTAATTGACACACGCGGCAGATGGCGTACACACCCAGGCGCCGTGGCTTTCATCTGTGTTTAATTTCCTTTCATATAAAAGTTACAGGTTTGAAATGTCTGCAGGAAGATGCCACTATCAGCCAGGTTAGTTGGGGGTCTATATTACAATGTAACATCGGGGAGGTGTGGGGCAGGGAGTGGGAGGCGCACAGCAGTGGGGTTCAGGTCAGACAGGGCGCACCTGCCCTTCCCCGGCTCCCCCACACCTGCAGGTGAGCACTGACTCTGCAGGGAACCAAGCGTGATCGTGTCGGTCTGCCACACAGACCCACTCCCACACCCTGCCCCCCGCCCCGGCCTCAGCCCCCAAGACAGACGGATCACAGCCAGGTGGTGTCTTATGAGGCATGGGGTGGGGAAGCCTGTCAGCCAATAAGTTAAAACACACACTGCGCCTGCTGCCCTCATGCCGGTCCCCTGGACGCGCTGGCCCCTCACCGCCTGCACTGCCTGCCTGGGGCCCCAGACGTCTGCCCAGACGGCCGAGGGCTCCTGGAGGGAAGCGGGCAGGGCCTGTGGGGGGGGGGGTGTGGGTGCAGGGTCCGTTCTGAATTGAGGAAGGGTGAAGCCTCTCCCACCAGCTCACGCCTGAGAACAGACCTGCGGATAGACCCTGACCACGGACACGCCCCCGTCCGCTGATGCGTGTGAGTGCTGGTCACACCACCCACGGGCCCCGAGGGCACAGCGGCCCCCACGCACACAGCAGCAGTCAACGGAGCTGGGCCAGGGCGGGAGGCAAGATGGGAAGGCAGAGGAAAGACTGAAATGAGAGGACTTAAAGCGGGAACAAACTAAATGCCAACCCACACACAATACTGCTCATCAACAGCGACTCCACACACACTCTTTAAATAATAAAGTGACACGTTCCGGCTGCGGCATCACTGGCAGAGGGGGGGTGACTGACAGTTCACAGATCTCTCCCCTCCGTGTCCAGGATGCACAAACGAGAGGAAAAACCAGCCCACGTATTCTTGATAAAAGCTGCTCCAACACCCATGAGGGACTCAAAGGGACGTGGTGGTCTCCTTGACAAAAGTCTAATCCACGGATGTTGCTTTCGACTCTTCCTTGTTCTGTTTAATCTGGACTGAGCACAGGCAGATCCTGGAGTCCGCCTGACCAAGCCCCAAACCCAGAAGTGACCACTCAATCATGCAAAACAGGACGCAGGGGGCGTGGGGGCCACCGTCTGGTTCTGGTTCCCACGGGCACCCTGCCTGCAGCTCCACTCGCAGCTGACATGGAGCCGGCACCTCTGGGTGCAGAGACCCCCTGTAAACCCTGCCTCAGATTGTCAACCTCAGCAGTGAGAGTGGTTCTGAAGGAGGAGGAGGCAGAGGGCATCTGCTCCTGAAGAAGCTTTGCCAGAGGAGAGCCAGCCCGCCAGGGGCTGGGAAAGCCGTGGCAGCCACCCTCAGGAGGCGCCTCTGCACCTGGCCCCTGCCCTTAGGGACACCCTGTCCTTCCCAGAAGAGGCCCCTCTGGCCCCACCAGGATGGAGTAAGGTAAGAGGGGAGCCCGCGAGGCAGGAGGGGGTAGGAGATGGAGTTTAAGGCACACAGCAAGCAACAGAGGACGGGGCCACGGGCCTTCCCGGGACAGAAATGCCCCTCTGCTCCCCTCCCTCTGAATTAACTCACCCAAGAGCTACTGGCCCCAGCTCAGAGAAAATGTATTTCTTGGATGGTAAAGTCATCCCTTGTTCTAGCCTCCTCTTCCCAGCTCCCCACAGCGCCAGATGATGGGATGAGGGCCAGTGGGACGCCGGTGGGGGGATGAAGGGACAAAAAGATGACAGACACTGCTGCCGCCCCACTGTGGGAGGGCCCTGTGGTGCCAGCGGGCAGCAGGACAGCTCTGAGGGCCAGTACCAGGACTGAAGCTCCAGGGCTGCGGAGGGGCCCCCTGTCGTGCCTTGCTGGCCAGGAAACAAGCTTACTCCGTCTTCCACTTTAAATGCAGTCTGGAAAGTACAAGGACCCTCCCCGGGTCCTCTCTGTCACCCACCTGAATGTCCCCTTCCTTCCTTCATTCCTGGTCACTCATCTGTCACTTCAGCAGAGTCAGGACCCTGGAACTTGGAGAGGGGTAAAGGTTGCCACTGTTCTCGGTCTGCTGATGCCATCCCTGTGCTGCTCCAAGGCAGGGGGGGGGCGGGGGGGGCGGTGCTGGGGGGGAGACAGAAGGGAAAGCAGAAACCGCCGGCTCACACGTCAGTCCTGAGACCTGCCCGCTGGTCCACTGTGGGCCGCGGGGTCCGCTCTCGCGGAGGAGGGAGGCAGGACGCTGCCGCGGGCTCCCACCCGGGCCCTGTGGCTCTGAGGCTGGGAGACTTGCAGCCTGCCCAGGGAGGGGGCGCCGCCACCACGTAACAGGTCCAAAGTTCCTTCCGGTCTTGGAGCCGCCCTCTGAGCCTCTCATGAGCGTTCTCCTCGCTCATGGCACCTGCTCCTAGGTCTTCTCTTCCCGGTCTGTTTTTCTCCTTGATATGTTCCTGGGTTTGATTTTCAGAGAGAGTTCCCACAGGGCCTCCTCGGCCAGGTGGTCACTGAAGTCGTTGAAGAAGTTGATGATGTCGTCATTTCTCCGGATGTCATAATGCCTGGGGGGTGGGGGAGGCAGGCAGTGAGAGCCCGTGTGGGTGAACAGCCCAATGATCTCTCCGAAGGGGCCACGCACCCAGTCCCAGCAAACTGACGAGACAGGGGCTACTGTGGCCCACAGGCTGCAGGGGAGGAGGCCAGTGCTCGGAGATGAGGCCGCCAGCATGCAGGGCACGGGCTGGACCCTAAAGCTGTGCTCTCTCTGCTCCCTGCCAGGTCTCCTGAGCAGCACCCCTGCAGCCAGGCAGGTCTGCAGAAGCCTGGCTCCCCTCTGCATGGTGCCCCAACCTGGGTGGGCTCTGATGCCCGAGCCCACCCTCGACTGCCCTGGAGTCAGGTGGGCTAGGGTTTGCCAGCCTCCTCCTTGCATTAAGGCTGGCCACCAGCTTCCTTTACTGGAAATGCAGAGGACAAGCTGGCTGCCCACTCTGGGTACAGGCCTGGGGCCACGCTGTGCTCAGCCCTGATGTGCACTTTCTCACATCGTCCAGACAGACTGAAGGAGCAGGTGTCGAATCCCCGTTGGTCCTTTGTCACCTGCCATCTGTGCTCTGGGCCCCAGGAGCCCAGGGCTCAGGTGTGCCCCCGCCTAGCCCCGGCCCCCAGGGCGGCAGCACTCACGCCTGCTGGAAGCACCGCATGCTGTCGAGGATGTTGAACTGCTGCCACCGTTTGGAAAAGTTCACCTTCCCGTCAATGTAGTCTGGGTTTCCCAGGTGAACGAAGGTGAGGTCCTGGAGGATGAGCCCCCTGGGAAGATGGAGAAGCCCAGTTACTGCTCTGGAGAGCAACTCAGAAGCCACAGGACGAACCAGTGCCTGACGAGGCCCATGCCTTTGGGCTGCACCTGAGCAGTTGCCCAACCCACGAGCACATCTGGGATGTTTGTGAATTCCTGACTCGCACACTCTGGGTCCCTGGGAAAGCCAGCTCAGGTCCTGGAGGAGCCTCGAACACCCCGTCTGCCTGCAGAGGACCCCCAGGGACCTGACGCTGCAGCATCTGCCGGCAGAGCTGTGCGTGTGCTAACGTAAAATAAATAAATGAACAGGAAAATACCCCAAACTGGGGGTCGGGGAGATCCCCTCTTTGTTAACACGTGGAGTAACGTGCTTCTAAATACAGAGGGTGTGAAGCCAAAGGACGAGTGATGGGGCAGTTCTCCCACCCAGGGAGAGCCCAGCCCGAGGGCACAGCTGACACCCTCGGGAGCCCAGACGTGGACCCCTGACGGTCAAGTGCGTTAGTGGTCAGTGAGGGTGAGAGGCTAGGAAGCAAGGAGAGGGTCATTGGCTGCAAGATCTGTATCTCTGAGGGTGAAAGCCTCAAAGGCAGCCCCAGCCCTGAGGAATCTTCCATCAAACACTCAGCCCTGGGACACTGCTGAGTGTTCCACCCTTTTTTGGAGATTCCCAGTGTCCACTAGCATGTTATGGGCTCTGGTAAGTTCTGTAACAAAGAACCAGTGTAACTTTGATTTTTCCACTATTTCCTAAGCTTACGTGACCAAGGATCCTTTTCCACGAAACACCCATCGACTCTACCCCACGGCCCACACTGGGGAAGTGCTCTCAGGGTTCCTGGGTGACTGCAGGGCCCCCTTGTAACACGCAGCCCAGTCTGAGGACGGCTGGAATAGAGCATGATGCCACCCACGGGCTCTATGTCTGTCCACACACACGCCTGAGCACGCCTACTGGCAGATGAGAGAAGGAAACAGGAGGAAGCCTGGGAGATGGGCACGACAGACCCGTTCTCACTGGATCTCTCCTTTCCTGTTTCAATTGTGTAACAAGGAGCACGTTTTACATTCAAGGTCAAAATACAAGTACAAACACCTAAGCTGGAAACCTGGAGCAAGGGTTTCTGAGCGCGATACATCTTCCCCAGATCAAGAGAGGGCAAACCTGCTGGGAGGCTCTACTCACAGGTACGGGATGCACGGTGGCTCCACCTCAGAGAGGGCGGCCCGGTAGGCGCGGAAGGAGGATGAGCTGTCAATCAGCGTGCAGTACTCTGCTAGGCCCTGGGCAGGAGGGACACAGAGCCTGTGAGCACTGAGACAGTGCTAGGGCACTGAGCCCTGCCCCTCCTCACTGACCCACTCATCACCCACCCTCCGCCGACACTCGAGCGTGCCCACACGTACAAACCCAGAGCCAGACCCAGCCCTGCCCTGGCCGCAGGGGGACCAGGCCTCTGTGGACAAACGGCCCACGAGGCTGCTTGTCCCTGCTCAGAACCGTGTCTCTGGGCAACCAGCGCCCACCAAGTATGGGACCTGGAGCTCGGGCTCTGGCTGGGTGCTGCTCCGCACTGCAGCTCAAGGGAGATTCTAAAGCACACGCTGAACCGGGTCACTTGGCTCTGAGCCCTCCCTCGCTCCTCACTGCACTCAAGGCAGAGTCCACGAGAGATGGCAGGTAACCTGGCCGCGCTGCTCCTGCCCCTGCACACCGCATGGGGTTCTTGCCTAGGAGACTCAGCTGCTCCTGCCCCTCCCCACAATGCCATTCACCCGCTTTGCTGCCTGCTAGGGGCCTCTCATCCTGATGTGTCACAGGACGACCAGGAAGCCTCCCCTGCCTTCTCAGGACCTCGTTTGTGTTTCTAGAGCAGCTGGTGTGAATGTTCCACTTCTCCATACGACATTGTTTTATAACTATCCCTTTATGTCGCCCTGTGAGACGACCACCAGGGGCCCAGCCAACACTCAGCCCTGTGGGCTTTGCCCCCCTTCTCCAGGACCAGCTGCCACACAGGACAAAGGTCCAATTCCTCGCCAGTCTCCCTAAGGCCCTCGTGATCTAGAGCGGTTCCCCTTCCCTGTGATGCGGCCTCTTCTCTGCTGCTCAAGGGCATCAAGCTCCCACCTGCTCCCGGTCTGTGTTCCTCTGTGCCCTCTGATGGGAACTTCCCCCGCCCCCCCCACCAGGAAACTCCTCTGCTCAGGTCTTGGTGTGATCAACACTTCCCTCGGGGGCCTTCCTGACCCCAGGCTGGGCTGACCACTGGGTCACGTGCTTGCTCAGCACCCCGTCCTTTCCCTTTAGCATGCACCCTGAAGAAACCCACCCTATAAGGTGTCTGGCCTTCACAGTACGTCCCCAGTGCCTAACGTGGCCCCCAGCCCAGAGCAGCCCCTTCAGAAGCAGGGGCCAAAGGGAGGAAGGGGCAAGTGAAGCTGGGACCCAGGCACGGGCTTGCAGAGCAGGCAGCAGGGCCTGTGATGTGACAACCCTGGCACCGACCCTGGAGCCCCTGAGGGCCCTATGACTGGAGCTTAGAGACAGGAGATGAAGGTGGGGGCTGGGCCGTCCCTGCCGCACAGCAGGTCGGCGGCAGAGCAGGGGCCCGAGTGCAGGTCTCCATTCCTGTCCCCAGCATGTCCTGCCACAGCCAGCTCCCCCAAGGGCCAGGCAGGCCTCCCACTTCACAGCTTCCCTCCCAGCCGCTCACCTCCGAGGTCTGCTTCTGCCACTCCAGCCTGCGGATGGGCGCCGAATCCAGCGCCGAGAGGATGGCCAGGTAGGAGTTGAAGTTGTTTAGCTTCCGTAGGTGCTGCAGACAGGGGCGAGGTGGCAGTGAGGGCAGGTGCAGGGACAGGCAGGCCCAGGGCCTCCCGGGGCAGGGTCTGCAGGGCTGGGCTCTGGAGAGGGTGCCCACACTCACCTTCATAATCTTGATGAACTTCAGGAGCAGCCGTTCCCGGTCCTGGGCCTTTTCCTGTAACATGATTATTGACCGGACCCTGCAGAGACCAAGAGGAAAAAGGGGCGGCAGCTCAGCTGACCAGTCTCCCTGCGGGACCCAGGGTGCTCCTGGTGGAGATGGACGTGGACTCCTGCGCTGGCCAGCCAGGAGCCCACGCCTACCCAGTGCCCAGGGCTTGCGAGGCAGCAAGTGTAGCCCTAGTCTCTGCTCTCAAGGAGCTCACGGCATCCGGGCAGAGGCAAGAGGCCACCAAGAGGTCTGGTGGGCAGTGCCAAGCACCAGGACAGGGACCGCTGACCGTGTAGAGCAAGGCTGAGGAGGACCACACAGAGCTCTCCCGACAGGTGCTGACCCCAAGTTCCACGGGGCTGGACACGCTCCTCTCGTGGCCTCAGGTCTAGCTGACACCTGGGTAAGAGACCACCTTACGGCCACAAGGCGGGGCACCTCTCGGAACCTTAGCCAAAGCCAAAGCCCGGTCTCTGAGGACCTCATGGTGGCCTCACCCCACTGTGGTTTCACAGGGGCTACACCCACTCGGAGGAAATGCCACCTCTGCTGTGCCTCTTCTGCCCCGTTAAGGGCCCCTGCACTGACGCGCCTTGAGGACCCCACGTGCACCTCCTCCTAGGCAGCTCCCCAAGGGTGTGCCCGGAGCCTCCTGCACTCAGCAAGGGGCTTGAGTCAGAGGCCGGGCTCAGGGCTGGAGGCAGCTTCTGTCTGCCCAGAAACCACCACGTCCTACTGGGCAAGCCCCTGAACTGAGGCTGGGTTGCTGCCGCTGAGCACACGTTGCTGAAGACGGGAGCCCTTCCTGTGCGGGAAGGAAAGCAGGGCAAGTAGCGGATGACCTGATGTTTCTCCAACAAGCAGTTCTTGGAGCATATAAAAAATACTGGACGTCCCCCTGGTGGCAGTGGTGGACTGTGTGTAGGGTGGGGTCTGCCACAGCACCAGACTGCGTGCCTGCCATGCTCCTACCATCTTCTGATGCTGGGAGGCCGTGGCGCATTTGAGTCACATCTTGAAGAGCCAACAATTTCATTATACATTATAGTATAAACACACTTTTGGGCTTCATTATACTTTAAGAATTAAAGGCTAAATAAAAGTATTAATAGAATCTCTCCTTTGCTAACTTTTTTTCTTTTAGGCAGAGTCAGCGTGAGGATCAACCCTGAGGCTGCCTGGCTGTGGGGAGATTGGCGACGACCAATGCAGGATGGCAAACTTCACACCCCCTCCCCTGCCGCCATCTGCGGCAGACATTACTCATCAATCCTGGCACTCTTCCCTGCTGAGTCTCAGACTCCTCCTCCACCAGCCCTCCAGGTGACCCTTCCAACATGCAAGATGCACCCCATCCAGTCCCTGCCCCTGCTCTCTGCTGCCTACAGTTCACAGATAATGCCCGCAGGCCTCAGGAGGAGCTGGGAGGAATCAAAGAGGCACCTCCTTCTCCTTGCCACTGGAACTCTCTGTCAAGAAAAACACGGGAACCCACCCAGATGTGCCGCTGTAGAGAACTGGGGCTTCGCACCGGCGCGCCTTACCAGTAGGACATGTTGTTGAAGTGCTCCGTGAACTGGGTCAAGTTGGGGCTCTTCTCCTCATTCTGCTCTTTTGCCCAAAGCAAAACCTCAGGAATCTGAAAAAGGAAGTAGACGGGATCGAGCCAGAGCCCTCTGGCTCTGCTGTGACAGGGTGGCCTCTCTCGCTCAGGGACAAGCAGCAGCGGCTCGCCGGGACAGCAACAGCCCTCCCCCGGCCCCAGCCCAGCCCAGCGCCATACCTCTATCTTATAAAAGAGCTCAGCATCCAGCAGTGTCAGCTGCTCGGCTATTTCATGGCTGTGAAAGTCATGCAACGTTCCTGGCCTGGAAGACAGAGGCATGAGACGAGTGGTCAGGGCACAGGGACGGCGGGAGCTGAGCAGGTGCTGCACTGCCGGCCTCAGAGCTGAGAGACCGGAGGAGCAGCGGCCCCAAGCCTCGCTTCCTGGCAGGAGACGGAGGCCACAAAGTGGGTCCGTGGCGGGTCAGGACCAGACCACGCTCCTCCTGGGGACCATGGTGCCTGCCTTCCTCTCCTGCCTCTGCGGGGCAGGTGCTGCAGCTCCCCTCGTGAGCCCACGGACAGCTCAGCTGCCCGAGAACTCAACGCCCGACCCCACTTCCCCGGGCCCAGTGGGAGGGGAGCTGGTGCCACGTGACCGAAAGCTAAAACACCAGCAAGGGGCCGATACATCAGCAAACACCGGCAGCTGGGCTGAGGGGCAGGCGCCAGACTGGATGCTTTATACAGGGTCTCAGGAACCTTCAGGACGGCACAGGATGCTGGCCGAGAATTCACAGCCACCATGTCAGTGCCAGGAAGATAATTAAGAGCCGACCACAGTCCAGAACGCATTCACCGGCTCCTGTGAGCTCCCCCACGCCCTGCCGCCCCACTTCCTGGTAAAAAGGCGACTCGTCACACATCACCTTGGAGAAGAGGCCCAGCCCCCAGGGGACCTATCGGGCTGTCCCTGAGGCACCCTGTCACAGGGCCTGGGCAGAACCAGGACGTGAGGCTGCGGGGTACACGAAGGGAAATGGAATGGAGAGGCAGCTGTGGGGCACAGCCCTTGCCAGCAGAGGCAGGGGCTGGAGAAGCCACGGACGGACAGCTGGCGGCTCACCTGGCGGCTACCCCCCTGGCTGCCAGGGGCTGGTCGGAGTTGGCACACCGGAGCAGCTTCTTCTGGTCCACCTTGTCCAGGATGTTCTTCCGGAGCACGCGGGCCAGGCTGAGCTCCCCGCTGCACACCAAGCGGAAGACCAGCTCCATCAGCAGCTTCAAGATCTCTTCTGTCAATTCCACGAGACTGAAGGGCCAAGGGCCACAAGGTGAGGGGCAGGAACACCAGCACAGGGACAGGACTGCTGCCACCGGGTCCAGAATCCACCTCGAGATACCCGAGGCCCCCGCGGCAGCAATCGGCAGAGCTGGGAAACCTCTTGCAGGAAGAGAGCAAGAGGAAAGGCCTTGGGACGGCCGGGGCGTCCTCCCAAGTCTCACCGGTAACAGTCCCCGCCATGCCCTCGGCAAACGCTGGCACCAGGGACCATGCCGGGGCCTGGGCTATGGAGACAAATCGCACACAGACTGTGCCCGGAGGAACTCCTGGTTCCGGGGGTGATGAGTCACTAAGAAAGAGGTCCTGGCCCCTCAGACCAGACGCCCCTGAACTTCCTCCGAGTAGCACTGTCCACACCTGGTGGTTTCACAGCTGTGCAGTCACTGACTAAGGCCATGCCCCAAGGACTCTCCAGAACTAGGAAAGGGACCAGCTTGACGTGTATTTGTTAAATGAATGTGAGTGCCACATCAGCGGGGCATGGAAAGCAGAGGAGGGCGGGCGAGGGCCTCCCCAGTGCTGGTGGCTGAGGACATGGCTGACTGTGGATGAGGCTCTAAGCTCCATGCCAGAGGGATGGCCCCCACGAGGAAATCAGGGCCGGGACGGGGCTGGTCTAAGGAGACAGGTCCTTCTCCACAAGGGTTGTGTTAGTGCAGGCAGGAGCGAGCCCCGTCCAGGACCGCGGGCAGGGCTCTGTGGGCACGTCCCCCAGGAGAGGCAGGTGCACTGTGACAGGACGCCCCTATCTTGGCAGGGAACCCCCAGACTCCCGAGGCCTGCTGGGCTCCCCACCCGCCTCCCTGCGACCCCGTGGGCGGAAGCACTCACCAGAGCTCATCCACCACCCGCACGAGCACGAAGAACGTGTTCTTGCTGACGCGCTTCTTGAACGTGTCAGCGAAGAGAGAGAACTTCTCGTACGTGGAGCGTGGGTTAAAGAAACAGCCATGCTCACCAGGGCAGAGACGGGTGATGGGAGCGGGAGGGCCCCTTCCTCCCGCTACCGTGGACTGAGTGCCGACGGTGGGCCAGGAAGCCCGCCAGTCAGGCATCGTGTCCGGGAACGAGGGCGTGGGGAAGGCAAAGGACTCACGCCAAGTGGCAGAGCCGTAAAGCAGGATCCAGCCCGGACCTGTCTGACCCCAAGGACTGTCCTGGACCTCTACCCTTTCCTGCCCGCAGAGCCGTCTCCACTGCACCGCCCACACCTGCCTTTCTGTTGGGTTAAACCCAAGGGTCCTGTGAGACCTACGGACCCTTGAAGGCCACCTTGCTGAGCTTCAGGCAGAGAAAGGAGGTCAAAACCACACGCCCTGAAACCCCCAGGTCCCTGGGCAGGTGCAGAGCCCAGAGGTGTCTTCCTCCACTCTCGCATGAGTTCCCATCCATCTTTCATAGCTTCAGAGGCCACCTGAAGGACATCCGCCCCCTTCCCCACAGCCCCCTTTCAAACACGGACCACCTCCAGCTCCTCCCTGAGGCCGTGGTTTCCGCCTCAAGGGTCCTGGTTTCTTACCACCCTGTTGTGTTCACCATCAACTCCCTAGACCCTTCTCCAGCTCTGTCCTGCCTGCTCTCTAGTGATGCACGGGCACTCAGGAAGAAGCCACGTGCCAGGGACGATCCCCAGGGCCTGCACCACAGAGGGCTCACTAGCCAGCCATGCCCAGGATCTCGACGCAGCAGTGCTTCCATTAACACACTTGAAGTGGCCGAGCAGAGAGATGCTGGGAACCTGAGCTCTGGAGGGGTGTATATGGGTGTGTCTGTTCTCCAACCAAGCAGCCATATGGGTCACTTAACCTCTCGAAGCCTCAGTTGCCCTATTATAATTATATAATAGGAAATGATATGATGGCACCATATGTAATATGGTAATAACATATACATAAAACGATATTACAGCTGAGAGAGATTACACGTGCAAATGCTCAGCATCAGGCCTGACACAAGGAAGTTCACAACACGCGTGAGTTACTATCACTCGCTGAGCCAGGCCTGCGAGCAGGCGCCCTGAGGAACTGAACGTGTGAGGCTGGAGGGAGCCTAAGGCTCTACAAATGGGGACTGTCCACTTCAGTCTGAGGGACAGGGCCTCCAGAGCCGGGGCAAGGGGAGAGTGGACGGCACAGTCTGGAGGCCGGGGTCAGGGATGCCTCAGGGCACACAGGAAGGGGGAGAGCTGGGAGGGCTCAGGACTTCCTGTCCCTGACTGACAGCAGATGTCCAGCAGATGGCAGTCATGGGCTGTGATGTAGGGACGTGGCTAAGGAGCAGGGGACCCTGGGCAGCAGCTCCAGGTTAGCCTCGGCAGGACAGGCAGGTTTGGACCCAAGAGAGAGGCAACAAAAGTGGGTCCTTCCAGGCCCCAGGGTCTTCCTCTGCCACTACCGCAGGGAGTGATACTTGAACGTATGAGGCAGATGTGCTCAGGGGTAGGAGCTGACACTGGACGTCCTGGACGTGGAGTTTCCATCCACTGCTGGGTCACCCAGCAGGTGGAGTGGCAGTGCCTACCCCTGAGGCCGTTCATTTGAGTCTGGATCCCCTCAAGCCCTGCACACTTCGCACCCATCACCCCCAATGCCCTGGGGCTCAGCTCTGAGAGGCTGCAGGTGCCAATGATGTGGGTCTGCAGGGGCCTGCAGCTCACTTGCTCCCCTCAGGGCTTCCTCCCCTCAGGGCTCTCTCTCCCCAGGGCTCCGTTCCCCCCTCAGGGCTCCCTCCTCCCAGGGCTCCGTTCCCCCCTCAGGGCTCCCTCCTCCCAGGGCTGTGTTCCCCCCTCAGGGCTCCTTCCACCCCAGGGCTCCATCCCCCTCGGGGCTCCGTCTCCCTCAGGGCTCCCTCCCCCCACCCCGGGGCTCCCTCCCCCCCAGGGCTCCGTCCACCCCCCAGGGCCCCCTCCCCCTTAGGGCCCCCTTCCCCCAGGGCTCCCTCCCCCTCAGGGCATGTCAATTCTTTCCAATTCTTTTTCAGAATCACCCAGTGGTCACCACTGCCATCAGGCACCACACCCTACGTTCTGGGCACTTCACAGAATCTCATCAGCCCCTTTACAGCCAGCAAAGGGGCTCAAAGAGGAAGCCTTGCCCAAGGTCCCAACGCCAGGACGCGGCAGAGCAGGCTGCGCACCTCCCTCACTGCTGCCCGCCACAGGCACGCAGCTCCCTGCGTGAGGGCTGAGGGAAGAGGAAGCCCCTCCTTCTCCTGGCTCGGGCAGGATCTGCGGCGTGAGGGGTGTGGGGCCAGGGCTGGGGGCCCAGGAAGGATATCTGTACTGCAGCTTCTTGATGAGCTCCTCAGGGCTGATGAAGGTCCTGTAGGTCGTCAGGAAGGCCTCACAGTACAACACCAGGTCTAGAGGAAGAACAACTGATCAGTGACGCCTGCCACCAGCAAGGGACAGAGCTGGGCAGCACGCCTGCTGCAGGTATCAGCCACCCCCGATCAGACTCTGAGAGCTTCTTGTCCGTCATCTTAAGACTGGATGATTCAAAGGGTCTTAATCATCATGGGCACAGAGAAAATAATGCAAACTTGTCAGCAGGGTTTTGAAGTTAAATCACAGGTAATACTTTTTAGACGGCAGGGCCCAGGAACAAAACCCTTGGGAATTTCCACATATTGAGAGACCTAAGAAAAGGCTGAAGGGGCAAAGCTTGACACGCTGCTGGAATACACAAGTGTGCCTGCTCCGGTGCCAGGGAAGGGACAGGCCGACAGGGAGCAGCTCTCTAGCAGTCGGGTGGGACTTGGGCTGGCAGTTCCCACCCACACCCCATCCCTTTGGAGGGCTGGTTCCAGCTAGGGATTCCCCACCTTTCCAGAATCACAACAGCCCCCTGTTTATGTGCGATTGTGACACTCCCTCCCAACCATGGAGTCGCTGACACTAAAGAAAAAAGGAGTGGAATGTTTAAATGCAGGACTCTCTCCAAGACAAATGCCCTAGCCAAGCTTGTGAACTTCAGAATTATTCTGCGCTGGAGCTGAGGTCTGAGTCCTGACTCAGCTCCAGCCTTCTCCTCACTGTGAGGTGGAGCGGACACAGTGCTCACGTTTTCTGTCCTGGACACAGACCCCCTTCCCCTATCTTCTTCCATTCACCTCCAACTCCCTGGGTGGAGGAATCTCAAGGAGCCCCACTTCTCCAGCTCAGCAGTGCACCTTGGCACAGCCCTGGCTCCTGTCCCCCGTCCGTGCTGATCACCTCCCAGGACACACGAGAGGAAGACCGGCACGTGCTCCTGTGTGGGGTTGGGCGTGAGGGAGGGAGGCTCACAGGTTGGTGTCACAGCAGGGGCCAACAGGATTGTGTTCCGGCTCCTTCCTGGACCTCACTCCCCTACTCCCCAGCTCAGTGTCAAGTATGGGCTTTTGTCTACGAGGAGCTGGGCACGGAAGCAGAGACAGGTCCAGCACAAGCCAACGCATGCCTCTGGAAGATCAGATCAGCGTCTGCAGGCCCCTGAGCCATGGGTGTGGTCTTTAGTCCACAGGAAGCCACCTGCCCAAGGAGCTAGCTATGTGGCCCAGGGCCTCTGCCTCAACAGTCCATCCCACGCACAAATGACTTGGGTTCTGCAGAGCCTCAGAATCTTTCCGTTAATAAAACCAAGCAGAAGCCCCAGCGGGCAGCAGAGCCTCTGTCCAGGCAGAGTCAGCATGGACTGGAAGGTTCCTGGGCAGGGCTCCCTCTGGTCGTGGCCACAGCTGGCTGCACCTGGCAGGACAGTGGCGTCCACTGCCCAGAGCCGAGGACTGGAGCCAGCTCCCATTTCAGCCCTTCGCCTTTGGACAAAAATGAAAATCGCTCCTCCTGCCTGGCTGTGGACAGAGCTCTGACCTGCCTGGCACGGAGGAGGGTTTACTGCAGAAAAGCAGAGCGGGGGATGCTCCTAAGGAGGACAAGGAATACTCCCTGAGCGCTTCCTACGTGCAGCACGTTTCACGTCAGCTCACTCAACCTCACAGCCACTGGACACTGCAAACCGCTTCAAACAGCTGGGTCAGCTGAGGCTGAGAAGCGAAGGGCTGTGCCCTCAGCTGCCCAAGCCTGTGAATGGCCGACCCAGGATCAGAACTCAAAGTCTCCAGGCCTGGGCTCTGCCCAGGTCAGAAGAAACCAAGGGTGAAGAGGCAAACCCCAGAGGCAAAACAGCAGCTGCGGGGAGTCTGTGGGAGCCATTTCTTCTTTTGCTCTATTATTCAAATTTTCTGCAATGTAAAGGTTATTTTGTACTACTTTCATGATTTACAATCTCTAGAATCATTCTGTGTAACATACTTGGGGAAATCTGCTGTAAAAACATGTGGACAAGGTCGTTTACAAAAATGAAATTGATGGGGGCTGGCCCCGTGGCATAATGGTTAAGTTTGGCACGCTCTGCTTCATCAGCCTAGGTTTGTGGGTTGGGATCCTGGCGTGGACCTACCCCACTCATCAGCCATGCTGTGGTGGTGAGCCACATACAAAATAGAGGAAGGCTGGCACAGATGTTAGGTCAATGCTAATCTTCCTCAATCAAAAAATGAGGAAGATTTGCAACAGACGTTAGCTCAGAGCTAATCTTCCTCAGCAAAAAAAAAAAAAAAAAAAGAAAGAAAAGAAATGGATGGGTTAGGGTTTCAAGATTGGGATGTTTTAATTCCTTCCACAACCTACTTTAACATTGTTGTTACATTATCTTTTTAATAATTTTAAAAAATGTAAAAAAGAAACAAGTGTGGGGAGAGGCCAGGTCCTGCTGTGGGGGCACCAGCACTGGGGGTAGGTCCTGTAGGTCCTGGGGCCATCAACAATCTGCACCAACAGAGGACAGACTCAGAGCAGGCCAGGAAGCAGAGGGCCTGGCTTTGAACATGAGCCACCTGTCCCCCAGGGTAGGCTCTACCTATGGTGACCCAACAGCACCAGGACCGCCATTCTGATCTGCTCAGGGCTGGGGGAGAGGAGAGGAGAGTGCAGTGGAGCCGAGCGATGCTGGGGCTTCAGCAGGACCAGCCTGATCCAGTGAGCTCTGACACAGATAAAAGCCACCACAGAGAGCGCTGCCGTACCTTTCCTGTCCGTCTCAGTAGCATGGACCAGTAGGATATCCCCAGATCCTCCACGGACGTCTGGCCCATCATCACCCTGCAATGACAACAGTGAAGGAGGGCATGAGGCAAAATGCAGCTGTAAAAAAGCCGGTTTAGGAAGTCACGGGCAGGGATGAGATGACAAAGATGCTGTGTTGCAGGACCCCAAGTCCCCTTTCCCCTGCTCTCCCTAAGCCCCGGAGCAGCACAGCCGTGCTATAGAGGCCAGGTGTGTGCACCCAGCATATCCACTGCTCCGCGCTCGGCAGACAGGCACAGGCCAGAACTCATCTGGGGTGGCTGGCCCCAGGAGCTGCCCAGACGCCAGGACATAGTGGGCACCAGGACACAGTGTTCTAATGACACAACTGGGTCGGGGGACCTGGCGCCGTTCCATCTGTCTCTGTTCACCTCTCACCCACGGTCAGAGGGGCGAGGAGGGAAGTTCTCACATGCTGGGAGAGGGGGGACTCCACGGGGAGGCCGGCAGGGCTGTTCCAAGTATGTTCATGTTCCTAAAATTGCAGCAAGCTGCCATAAATCTCAATGTTTCCCAGGCGGAAGGAAAAGTCACTTGTAACGTCACAGGTTCTCCCAGGGAGCCCTTCTTAGAGGAATGTGAAGCATCACGAAGATATTCAACTACACCTGACACTGCTATTATGACCTCTGACCGCCACCTGCCAATTAATGAAAAAGTCTTATTTCCATGCAGGCAAACAGAGGCTTTAAGCCACAAACGCGGCCTGGAGACAAAAAAGGCTGTCACCAGGGCTAGGAATGGAAACCCAGGCCACACATCACCAGGCCTGGCCCTGGGGCTGCAACACTCCTCACTCAATCATTCCGAGGGGAACACGACCACCCCTCGGCCTCCTCCTGTCTGCAGCACTCACTCTCGGGGATGCACTCGCCTCTTCAGCGCCTAAGGTTTTCACCCCTGGACTCCGGAGTCCTGAAAGCGCCTTGGATTTCCAGCTAAGGGTGGGGGTGGCTACACCCATTACCTGATATTTCAGAAGAAATTTCTGGCAAGGGTCACGAAACATCAGTTCTCTCTCTGAGAGGAGCCCACGGTCCAAGCGCCTCCACCAGCCCCACCTTCCCCATTACTCTCAGCCTGGCCCAGAAGGTGCAAAGGCAGTATCCGCCTGCTTGTGCGTGCGTGCATGTGTGTGTGCGCGCGCCACTGGCAAGGCAGAGCCCAGGAACACGGTCACTTCCTCAGGGGTGGGCCAAGGCCGTTTTATCAGGCCATTCCTCTGTGTTTCCAGAATCGCAGGGCAGACGGGAGATGTAAAGCTTTCCGGTTAGCCCTCTTCTATCTGACAGGGTTGGGGACTGTTTTTACCAATGAGGCTCTCCTGACAAGCCACAGGATGGAGGCTGCCACAGTGGCCAGGCCTGAAATTTCTCAATTGGCTTGTGTCTCCCCCACTCCAACTATGGTACGGTTATTCTATCAATAACAACATAATAAAATGTCTTATGCTAATGAGGGCTCCCCACACACAGGCTCTGTGCTGAGCCCCCTAATGGATTCGTTCTCACCACACCCTCCAGAGGCCCATCATTTGGGGCCCAGAGATGTCACATAACGTGCCCAAGATCACGCTAAAGTGTCAGAGAAGGGGACAGCACACTCTCTCCTGGAATTCATCCATTTGCCTGGTATCTTTTCACAGCCATGGTGGCCCAGGCGTTGGGCCAGGGTAAACGAGATGCCCAGAGCCCACGGACTCGAGGAGTCAACACCTCGCTGAGGTCTTTCTGTTTGACACACTTCAAGGTTACATTGTCCTCAGAGCCCCTTCACTCTCTTTACGGCTCAGACTCGGAAAAATTAAGGCCCGTGAAGGACTCACCTCCTGCTTGAGTGTCAGCCTCGCCATAATTTCATTGTGGTCGATGAGGGACAGCTCGTCCACTTCCTCCTCTGCCTGAGCTGACTCGGGAGCATCTGGTGACTTTGGGGCCCTGGAAGGAGAAGTGGTTTGTATTGCGTCAAACAGGCCCTGGGCTCCATGACGCCTGGAGGCTGAGGTGTAGCCCTGTGCACGAGAACTGCTCCCCCAAGCCAGTCCACCCTGAACCTATATGTGCTATAATGTGCTATAATGTGAAGCCCAGACCCGTCCCGTGCCCACCACAGGGGGCCTGAGCAGTGGACAGAAGCCAGGATGCAGACGAGATTTCTAGCTCTGCTTCTAATGAGCTGTGTGACCTTGGGACATTTCCTGCTCTCTCTGCATCTCCATCTGTAAACGGAAGGGGTTAAGCAAGATCAAGAAGGTTCCATCAAGCTATTTAACCAAGTGATGGTCTCAGTCATCTTTGTCGAGGCCCACTGCATGGACAGTCAGTATTCAAGGGGAGGAACAGCAAAGGGCAGCAGGATGGGAGAACACGTTAGCATGGACCTGAACGCCATGCCCCACGACTTCATTCCCCAAGACTGGCCCGAGGGCCGTCTCTCCGTGGGACCAAGCAGAAGCGTGAAGCAGGCAGACCAGCCCTTGTCCTCGGGGTGCGGGCTCTAGCGGGAGAGACAGGTGCTAAAACAAGCAGCTGGGGCAGCAGCACAAGCAGGGAGCCGAGTGTAAAGGGCAGGGCAGGCCCCCGAGCACGGGACAGACAACAGGAGACGGAACAGCCGAGGAGGGGTTTGCTGGTGGGGGAGAGGACCACCCGCCAGCGGGAGTGCGCGGGGCAGCTGGGGGCATTCCGGGCAGGGTCTGTGTTTTATTCTTATGACCCTCATGATGGATCCTGTGAGGAACTGGCTGGCCTTGTGGTCACAGGCCACATCTTCCCCTAAGTCTTAGCGCCTTCAGTAAGGCAACCTGGAAGGGCCAGAGTGAAACCACGTGCGGCCCCGGCAAGGGGCTCTGCCACGCGTCTCGTCACTGACTGGCCTGTGTGGACAGAGGACGACATCCTAGTGATTGTTTCTAACCAGTCAACGTGCTCACCCTTCTGCTTCTTTTCCAAGGACCATCTGGAACTCTGAAAATGGCACTGTCAGGTCCAGTGAAGAGGGAGACAGAACCACGAGCTGCTGTCGTGTGGCACAGGCGCCCTTTGCCACCAGGTGTTAAACTAGAAAGCCCATCATCGCTTCACACTTGGGGAAACCTCAGCCAGGCAGACGAATCAGACCCAACAAGGACAGATGGCACAGAACAGTGGCCACAGCATTGGGTCGGTGGCCTACGTCAACAAGCCCCTATCAATGCTTTCTAATGTTTTTTCTGTCTCTTGCTATTTTTACCACCTCTGCAACCATTTATGCTTGGGCCTGGCAATGACCGCCGGGTACTGCTTGTCTTTGCAGCTGGGACCCCAGAGGTAGTAGCTGGACCTTGGTCTAAAGGAGGGACAGCTTGAATGTACGGAACATGGCACAAACGAGGTGACGCCGACACGACGCTGCAGATGGCAGAGCCGACTGGCGCGTCCTGCACATTATGCTTTGTTAGGTGCACACCGGAGAAACTCACACTGTGTGTCTAAACCTGGTCAGGTGTCACTCCTGCTAACACCGAAAAACGTTATGGGAGATTAAGAGACAGACAACCAAACGCAACGATGATTTCTGACTGAGCTTGCTTCCAAAGAAATAAGCCCTGGCAGACACTTGAGGGAGAACTGGGGAACTAGAAGGTGGTTTGCATATCAGATGATATGAGGGAATTTATTACTAATTTTCTGAGGTGTGATAATGACATTGTAGTCAGGCAGGCCTTTTAAGTTTTTAGGGGGCACACTGCAGTATTTAGGGGCTGTCACGTTTGTAACTTACTTTCAAATGGTTTAGCAACACAATGTACACACTACATCTAGAAACTTTTATAATAAAAAGGTTTTTGGGGGGATCTTTTACACTCCCTTATTGCACTGGAACTTGGAAGAGGCCAAGGGAGGTTGGCCTAGGATTTGAAAAAGACAAGACTGGGGCCGGCCTGGTGGTGCAAGCGGTTAAGTCCGTGTGCTCCACTGCGGTGGCCCGGGGTTCGCTGGTTTAGATCCCGGGTATGCACCGATGCACGGCCTGTCAGGCCAAGCTGTGGCAGGCGTCCCATATAAAGTGGAGGAAGATGGGCCTGGATGTTAGCCAAGGGCCAGTCTTCCTCAGCAAAAAAAGGAGGAGGATTGGCAGATGTTAGCTCAGGGCCGATCTTCCTCACACACACACACACACACACACACACAAAAGACAAGACTGTCGTGGGTAACTTGTAAGGTGGATAATATGTGTGCAGATATCAAGAAGTAATGGCAGACCGTATGTTAGAGGGAAGGCCTGTGAGGGGTGGCATGATTAGTGATTTTTCTTGCACTTTTCTGTACTTTCCATGTTTTCTACCCTGAGTATGTATAATTTTGAGACTCAGAGAAAGGAAAGAATGTGGACATAAAGCGCCTGCAGGCCTGGCGTGCTGGCTGGCAGGGGGCTGACACGTGGTTGGCAGGGGACCCGGCTCCACTGGGGTCCCTTCCTACCTCTCCCCGCCGTCTCTGCTTTCCTTCCCCGGAGCACCGCCGACCGAGGAGGGATCTCTGGGATGTCCGTCTTTCACAGCTGGTGATTCCTGAAAAGAGAAGTCAGGGCTGGGTTTGTGACAGGCGCCCCACGCTGGGGCTGATCTGCTTCCCAGCACTCCTGCCTGCACGTGGCTTTTGAGTGCAAGTTCCTACAGAGCAACCTGAGATGTGAACAAGCCGACCGTGAATGTGGTTCATTACACAGGAAGCACACGGCCCTCCTCAGACTGGCATCTTGCCTTTGGGAAGAGTGAAAGGTGCCACTGCTTATGATCTTTGTCAGCAGCCAACCTAGATGAAGCCATCCCAACCAACTCCTGGAAGAAAGGCCTGTCATAGTCGCTCCCACTCAGCCAAGCTCAGCCAGACACTGTGCTAAGGGCTTCGCAAACCTCTCCTCACTAGGCCCTTACCAAGACCCTATCCGTTAGCTGCCGTCACCATGCCCACGCACACACACAGAAACCGAGGCTGGAGAAGTTCAAGGCCCTGCCCAAGACCACACGGCTAGAAGGCTGCAGCCCGGACTCAAACCCAGGGTCGTCCACCTCCAAAACCTGGGTCCTTAACCACCGTGCGCTGCTGGTGCGCAGCAAACCTCTGACTGCCCGGCTAAAGAGGGTCCTCAGGGCTGCTGCGCCCCACCGCCTCCCAGCTCCCATTCCACGGGGTCTAGCTGCTTGAGCGTGTGCACACGTGCAACCCCCTCCTCCTCCAGCAGCTAGCTTCTTCCCAGGGATCCGGCCCGCCCATTCAGCGACAAGGCCCTCCGGCATCCCTGGTCTGCCACCGCGGCCATGACAGGGGACGGGCAGCATGAATGCGCGGAACGTCATCGTGGAGAGTGCTTCGAGGTGAAGAGGAGTCAGCACTGACCATGCTCACGGGTGAAGGGAGAGCCACGGAAGGCCAGTCTGGGATGGAGTCCACTGTGCAGAGGCTGAACTGGATGATGCTGGGGGCACAGGTCACCACAGGGGAGAAGTGAGGTGGGAACACCAGGGGAGAAATAGCTTAGCTCCCACGGACACGGTCGAATCCCACTGGAGTGAAAACTCCATAATGTTCTATGACTTGCTAACACCTGATATGGGGCTTGCCTTGCGTGGACATCTAAGATCCTGTGGGGATCCCCTCGAGGGACCATCATTTTTTTTTTTTTTTTTTTTGCTGAGGAAGACCGGTCCTGAGCTAACATCTATTGCCAATCCTCCTCCTTTTTTTTGCCCCTCCTTTTTCTCCCCAAAGCCCCAGTAGACAGTTGTATGTCACAGTTGCACATCCTTCTCGTTGCTGTATGTGGGACGCCACCTCAGCATGGATGGACAAGCAGGGCGTAGGTGCGTGCCCGGGATCCGAACTCGGGCCGCCAGTAGCGGAGCTCGCGCACTTAACTGCCAAGCCAAGGGGCCGGCCCTCGAGGGACCATCTTAATGGCAGTGACCATGTTTTTAATGGGCTGGGCCCTTTGAGCTGATCACCAGTGAGGACTCGAGTCCTCATGGCACCTTCCCTCAAGGGGCTCGTCCTGCTCAGGACTGTGGGGGGAGTTATTTTCGAGGCTTTTGAACTTGCTCACGTTTTGCAGTAGCAAAACCCGGAAAGCTGACTGCTCCACAGAACAGCTGTACCTCGACTGTGTCGAGCTGGGACAGCAGTAAAACAGGGGGGCAATGTCAGGTAGGGCACCACTCTCTCAGGAGGGAGGGAGGTGTGCAGAAACACAGCAGGGGCTACCTACAGCCTCAGCCAGCTTCCTTGGGAGCAGCAAACATAGCAGTGAAGGAGCATGCTGGGAGGAAGAGGAGACGAAGATTTGGAAGGCTCAGTGTTGGAGAGAAGAGTCCCTCCCTCTGGGTGAGGGATGGAAGATGGACCTCAACACTAGGAGATGGGAAGAAAGAAATCCCCAAGAGCAACCAGACTCGTGGGCAGGCCAACACCAGGCTGCTCCCGTAGATTTCCAGAAGACCCATCGGCTAGGCTTGAGGAGCACCACACGCACTGAAGCAAAAGGAAAGGGAAGACCTCCAATGGGAAGCCACGTCCTCTCCCCATGGAGCCGAGCTGGCTCCTGGCAAGGCCGCAGGGGCCCAGTCTGCTAGCGACCGGGAGGCTAAGCCAGACAGAAGCAGGGGCCCAACCCCTGCCAGGCCAAGCCACATGCATGAGGCAGCCCCGAGGTTACTTACTCCTCGAGAGGGGGCCCGCTCCTCGCTGCTCTGGCCAGAGGAATACAGATTGACATATTCACCCTCACCAGCTTCCTCACTGGCGTGCTCACTCTGGGGGAGACAGGATGAGAGGAAACGCACATGTGACAGGCCCTCTAGCCCGCCCTCACGCTCAGAGATGGCTGTCCACGGGCTGGCCCTGACCAGGACGCTCCTTTCACGAGAAAGAGAAGACGGTGACAGCGAGCACTTGGTTCTCCTTGGGGAGCTTCTCCCAGGCTCAGAGAACAAAGCTGCGTTTGCTCCCTCCTGCCTCTGTGTTACAGGGGGCCTGCGTTTCCTTCTTCCGCAAAGATGTCAAGGCCTTTCAGGCTGTCCTGGAGGAGGCACGCCTCCCTACTCTGCTGCAGTGGGGACCGCGGGGTCCCCGGTGGGGGGAGAGGCAGTTATGAGGGACAGAGGCAACATGTCAAGACCACGCAACACACTGGACAGACAGCCCCACCTGCGTCTGCTCTGCCCCACCCACCTGTCCACATCCACGCCCACCTGCAGGGGCGTCTCCTGGCGCCCGGATGAAGACCTGCAGTCACCTGAACAGACCAGAGAGCAGGTCCTCTGTCCTCACACCACAGGCAACTAAACACACAGCTGCCTTTGGTCTCTGTCAGAGATCTTTGTACCTTTCTTCCAAAAGTGTCTGTATCTTTCTCTAAAAACAACCAAACTGAAAACTAGCATTTTCTGTCTTATGCTTATGATAACTGACTGCCTCTAGATGGTCACTATCCATTTGTGGAAATCAGACCCCTAGTGTGATGGGAACTTTATACAGAAGGTTCGATTTCTGTTCTGAAAATAGACGGGCTAACATTTCCCCTTGTGACCATCCACAGGCCTCAATCCAGCCATGTTGCTAATGGGCACACGCCAGCCACGGAGCTGGCTGCTAGTGAGGGAGGAATAGGGGTACCGCTTTCTTAGAACGTGCAGCCCCACTGGAGGGCGTGTGTGCTGAGTTCTCACCGAAGGCGTCTGGGGCGAGTCAGTGAAAGAGGTTTCGGAAGGAAGGCAGACAGTGTTCCCATGAAAGTTGCTCTCCTGGGAAGATGAAAGAGGCCCGTCCACGGTGCTGGGAGGCGGACTGGCTACGGTTGGCACCGCTAAGTCAGAGCTCTGAGACTGGTGGACGGGTGGGAAATGTGGAGAGGAAGAGGAGGTAGACGGAAGGAAAGGTTGAACGGAAGCTTGGTTGTGAGGCACGAAATCCTGGGAGTAGGACCTAAACACAGATTTATACTAGAGAACCAAAGTGGAAAACAAACACAAAAACGAGAAGATGGGAAGAAGAAAACAGACAAAAGAAAAAGCAGTTAGATTAACTCAGCAGAGCTGTGACAGGCTGTTCACAGTAACTGTACCGAGGACCAGTGATCAGGCCAGACCAACCCCGTTCTCCTCTGGCCCGAGGACCCCCACCCAGCACGTCCTCCCTCGAGAAGGGCCTGAAGCCTGACCAGTGCCGCCCTCAGTGTCTAAACAGCAGGACACGGGTGCCCCAAAGGAGAGCAGGCCCCACACGCTGTTTGGTGGTCCTGTCCTCTGCTTCACCAGAGAATTAAACCCACACAACGCAGTCTAGGCCTCTTGTCCTTTCAGGAAGCTTGCGGCTAAACTCAACGTGACACCTGGTCATATTTCCCGACTATAAATCTTTTGGATGAATCTCTTTGGTTTTAACCCTTGAAAGTCAAACACTGCAGCCTTTTAAATATTGTAACCCACCTCATATCCTTTTGGAAGGGAAGAGCATAAGCCTTCAAAATGGTTGGAAAAATTGTGCTATCGAAATGCTAAAAGTTTCTCTGAGTTCATTTCCTTTCCTACCCAATCTTTTCTTTCTTTTTTTAACAAAGGAAGTGATCTTGTGATGCCCCTGATGTCACCTTAGAGCCGCAAGGCTACACTCTCCCAAATTCTCTTCGAGAGAGAGAAGTCTGAGGTGAGGTTGAGAAGTGACAGCGAAGGCCCACAGCCCCTTATACCAGTGAGCACTCTGCTTCGGCAGGAGGGACAGAGGAGCTCGGGACCATGACCACCAGGCTCAGAATCCGACGACGTCATCATGTCCTGTAAAGGACCTGCCAACACGCTGCTCTCACAGGGAGATGGGAGAGGAACGTGTGGAAGGGACCGTGTCTGAAGTCCCTGCCAGGCTCACTTGCCCACGACAGAGGCCGAAAGTGGACAAGAGTCAAACCCAGCACAAATGTGCAGCTCATTCACTCAGATGCTCTCTGCACGTTGGCGTTGGAGTTTTGGAACCCATGGACAAGGGAAAGAGGGGAGAAGAAACAAAATTGTAAACGAATATGTCAAAACCACTCGCATCCTTAAGCGGTTTTGCAAAGCCACACTTTAACCTAAGAGCTGCTGTGACTCAAGGGCCAGGCCGGCCCCTTCCCGGCCGCACTGTCAGAGTGCTCCCCTCCTCGGTGAGGCCACGGCCCTCGCACTCGTGAGTTCCACCTGCCCTAGGCAGCTCCCCATTCTTACACAGTTTATTTCCCCATCTAACTCATAAACCCAAGGCTAACCCCCGTACACAGTCAAACGAATTAGTGGAAGCGCCACACACAGTCTGACCAAAGGACACTGAGGGCTTAGATTCCTGCTAGAGGTGAAGTTCCGTTCACACCCCTTCTTTCTAGAAAAGCCGGGTGAGTGGACCACTGGCTCAGCACCCCAGCTCAGCTGCTCTCACCTGGAGGGCTGGGGAGCCTGGGCACCCACAGTGACCTCAGCAACCAGGTGCCACATGGTGACCTTTCCCAGAAACCATCCAGCCCTGGGGAACTCACTCTGGGCCTTGATGGGGATGGCAGTAGGGTGACATGTTTGGCTTTTGGGGTTCTCCATTTCATCTCTGGAGTATGCTCCTCCCCTAGCAAGATTCTCTCACTGGCTGGGAAGGTCCACAGAACACAGTGAGTGGAATCCATCTGCCAAGGGAAGCGGTGGCCTGGTCCTGGGAGGCCACTTTGAGAGAGCCCCCACATCACCTGGTTCAGGCAGCGACCTCAGCGTCATGCAGGAGCCCCGTTCTCAGATCTGTCAGATGCTCATTCCCAACGTGTAGGCACTGCCACGAGATTTGCTAACAGATGCCTCTCCCTTGTCCACGAATCTACCTAGTTTAAGATTCATGTTCAATGGTCTGAAGGTTTGTGGCCCTCCAAAATTCATATGTTAAAATTCTAACCCCCAAAGACGATGGTGTTAGGAGGTGGGGCCTTTGGGACATGCTTAAATCACGAGGGTGGAACCCTCATCAATGGGATTAGCGCCTTATAAAAGAGGCTCCAGAGAGGTGCCTTGCTCTTCTGCCTTGTGAGGACACAACAAAAGGTCTGTAACCCAGAAGAGGGGGGCCCTCACCCAACCATGCTGGCACCCCGATCTTGGACTTTCAGCCTCCAGAACTGTGGGAAATAAATTTCTGTTGTTTATGAGCCACCCAGTCTGTGGTATTTTGTTATAACATCCGGAATGGACTAAGACAAAGGCTAGCTCTTTCTGGAGCCCCAGCACTGCCCTCATTACCGCCCCACCCCGGCCCCCGTAAACTCACTGAGCACTGACGCAGGCCCTGCCGTACCTGAGCACCTGACACACACACACAGACGGCTTCTGTGCAATCACAAAATGTGTCACGTTGCACAGCATCTTCCTAACTGATCATACGGCGTGTTTAACGGGTTTTGATGGGACGCATTTGGGGTGGAAGGCTCCCACCTGAGCCTGCCTCTTCTGGGAGACAGCACGTGGGGAATTGCTAAGAGGACACATTCTCAAGTCACAGGGACCTGGGCTCGGGTCCTGGGCCATCTCCTTCTACCTGTGTGACCTTGGGCAAGTGACTCAAGTTCTTGAGCCTCAGTTTCTTCACCTTTAAAATGGGGATGAGAACAACGGCACTCTTCTCAGAGGGTCTCTGTGTGGTTTTCATGAGATGATGCCCTGCAGGCCCTGAGCACAGTGCTGGCATGTGACAACACTCACTCAACGTCAGCTCTCCTCCCGTGCCCTCCAAAATACCAGCCTGGGAACTACTCTAAACAATAGAGCTGAGGCATTTAACAGGGGTCCAACACATACTTACTGATGAAGAAATACTTAGGAATGGATTAATATTATTATGAATTACAGTGCATAGAATATTGCCTGATTCACAGCAGCGTCTCAGTTTTGAGTGTGGGAGGGTAACAGATAAGCTTTGCTCGCTGCCCAGGACAGGTCCACAGTGGGAGACTGGGGAAGGGGGCCTGTCCACAGTGGGAGACTGGGGAAGGAGGCTCGGACGCCACCGGGGGTGTAGACTGCAGAGGAGAGGGGTGGCCACCAAAGAGACAGGAAGGAGGTCTGGCCCCTCTTGAACAAAGCGCCCTGGCCTGCCCCACCCTTCCTGCCCTCCTCCCTCCACAGCTCCTAGACTTCGAGCAGCTCTGGTATTCAAGCTATGCAGTCATGCTGGGACAGGAGCCAAGCTTGAAAAGTACCTTCAAGGGGGTGGGGAGATGTGAGGGGCTGCTCTCCAGTCACCGGAGAGCACACTGCGCCCCTCTGCAGAGCAGCTCTGCGAGGGAGGGCCGCATTGGGGCTCATCATCATACCATTTTCCACAAGTCTGGTCTCCACTGATTCCCCAGAGAAATACTTCCAGGCTCTTTAAGATCATATTTATTCACATGGGCAGGGAGAAAGGCAGAGCTAGCCACCGAACAGAAACACCACTTCACCACAGCCTGGAGTTTATTTTAGGATCTGGCTGGTGCCCGGCTCTGCTTCTGACAGAGAGCTGCTGCACTCTCTGTGGCAGGAATTTTTATTTATAGCAAGAGTAAGACTGTTTGGGCTGAGGATTTTATAACATGAGGGGCTGCCTGTCTGGAGACTGCAGATTTCTGCAGAAGATCTAGGCGTGCCCGAGCGAGCCAGTTCCTGGGAAGGAGAGCAGTTAGGAAAGGGGGTGCCTTGCCCTCAGTGTCAGCCCTGATCACACCTCCAGTCATCTCATGATGATGATGACGATGCTGGCTACTCTTACTGGATTCTTCCTGCTGGTCAGATGAGGTGCTAAGGGTTTTGCAGGAATCATCTCATTTTTACACAAAGTGCTGTTATGATCCTCATTACAAAGATGAAGAAACAGGCTGGAAGGGTAGGCTGTGTACTTAGTAACACATGGCTAGGCTCATAAGAGATGGTGGAGACAGCCCATCTCACATTCAACGAGTATTCTGAGCACGTGACAGTCCCTAACCACGCAGTCCCACAGCTCTGCAGGATACAGCCTACCAGCTCTGCTTGGAGATCTCCTTACTGAGCATTCTATGATGACCAGCATGCAAAAAGCAGTGAGCCGAGGCTGGATACCCACACCAGGGATGCAGAGAAAAGACCTGCCCTCACGAGAGACACAGGAAACAGCAACCCATGCTTTTGAAAATACACACCTGAAATAACCACCAAGAGTTTTCCAGGTGTAAGGATGATGGAGGCTGACGCCCTATACGTTAGTGTGTGGCCATTCACACACTAAAAAGCAAAGGCACTCAAAGCTGGCCAGACACCAGTTTTCAGTGACACTTTCTCTCCATTATGGTCCTGGCACGAAAAACGACTAGGGATGGGCCCCGTGTTGTGTTGGCAAGAAAGTTGGAAAGCCGATCTTTAAATGAAGAATTCTGATTCCTCAATATAACAGACATTCCATTTAATTCCTCTGATTATCAGGAAGACTGGGTACCAGAGAAGACTGCCAGCATGCCAGCAGCTGATGGCTAGAGCCACAGGCCAAGGACCTTGACTGGAATAGCTGCTCCACAGTGACTTGAGCTTCAAGCTTTGGAGAACTTTGAACTCTACCACTAACAGGGAAATGCGATCATGTGCGTAAATGGACTTACTGTTGTGTGCAGTGTTTGGGAATTATAGAAGTTGCCAGAGGCCGGTCATTACTGCCTACTCTTGGCACAAGCAAGGCTTATGACTTCAGTGTTTTTGGATGCTACCTGGCAAAACAGATAAGTTATTGGACAGCTGGTTTTCAGGCTTAAATTTTGATCCATCCTTTGTGAGAAAACACTCAAGGGCAACTGCTGTCCTGGTGTGGTTTGGGCTTCCTTCCCCTAAGGAGAATCACTGGGAACCACAGCTCAGTACTGGTCCTGGGCTCAGAGCACGCCTCGTTCAGGGACTGCAAGCGTCGACACAATGGGGGGCTAAGTTATTCCTCT